GGTTTTCCGAATACAGATTATCGCAAGAATCACTAAAATATTGAAGTTGCAGAAAAATAAAACAATGAACACAAAGGATTTTTCGCCACAAAGGCCCGGATGTTCAGCCTTACGGCCTACTCACCACGTTGAGCATCTACTAAGTAGATATAGCTCTAGATCCACTAGAAATAGAACCAAGAACGTTACAAATGTACGAAGAAACACAAAGTTTCTTCACTATTTTTATCTCGTTTCACACACAACCATCAACTAGCACTAAGCAATATCATAGCTATACATCAAGTGTAGTATAAAAAATCACTCAAATTTACAGAAATCATTTTCACTCAGAAAATCGGTGGTTTGAGAGAAAAAGGAAAACCCTAGAATTCACTCAGAATCGATCTCTCTGGAAGAAGGAATGAGGCATCAAAACGTTTTTAATCAGGTAAGTCAAGGGTCATTCATCAACGGTGAGAAGATGGCCAGAAATATGGCCAGATTATATCCACAAAGGAGGCAGAAGTCACATTTCAAGAGAATGTGTCTCTTTGCAATTTGGATCAGAAACATTTCAGCAAACTCGGCCCAACAGCCTTAAAAGGGGCCAAGTATGCGAGGCACTATTATTTGGGCTCAACAGTACTCAAACACATCATAACCAACTATAAAACATGGGCACAAAGGAGGATAAAAGTAGGGGAAGTAGGGAAGGGACGTGTTTGCTTGTTATGGTCATAGGTTGCAATTGCATATATGGGACACATTCAGATTTTATTGTTATAGGTTGCAGTCGTAGATGGTTATATCTGGCCTTAGATAGAGAACACGTTCATGTTTATGGCCACAAAAAGCGATTGTAGACTGAACATTACGTCAGTGCCAATATGGTGCATGTGTCACGTCAATGATATTCTAAACCATGCACTAGAACCTCAAAGACGTGTTTATGGCAAAGAAGATGCCTAACTCACAGAAAAGCAAATAAGTATCTAATATCTCAAAAGAATAATAAATAAAAGGGAATAAAATTGGATTGTCTCATAATAAGAGCTTATTTAATGTCATTAACTTGACTTTATTGATGATGTATAATGGAACGGTAAAGAAAGCTCTTAATGTCTTACTCAATTTGCTTCGTTTGACTCTGTCTACTTTTCATTTATTCTCTAGATCTCTACATTGCCACTTTTAATGATATATGACTTGCCTATTCCATTAAATTCAAACTCAACTATGCAAACTTTTACCTCCTTATCGAGCTTAATCACAAATCAATTATTGGACAATCAATAAAGTCGAAAGAATATGTGTTAGTTTTATCCTCATGAATTACTTCTTTATTATGAATTGTCACTTCTTCGTTTGGTTCATTTGTAATTAATTTGTCATTCTCATTATGCACTTCTCCACTTGTTGATATCTCATAGTGTTTATTGATCGGTTCACATTCTAAATTCATGAGCAATGAGAAGTCTTTTCACTCAACTTTTGCTAGTAGATTGTATTCCAACCTTTTAAATTTGTCCCAGTAGATTGGCATCTCCCTCAGGCATTTTGCTTTCAACCAACTTGGCAAGTTTACTATAGTACTTGCAAATGCCTTCTCATTCATCATAGATGGACCATCTCCCACAAGTATGATGCTCTCATTCCAATCGACAGGTACATAATATCTCACAAACATGTATCCCTTATCAGATTTGGCATTACTTTTTGTCATCTTAAATATTGTCTAAATCGAAGAAGTTTCGACATGTTGGAATCAGTGCACTAATACAACCAGTGTCCAATATAATGCATTCCATAACAAATTTCATAAATTGGATCTCCTCCAAGCATATCTTCACCCTCCATGTCGAGGTTAATCATTACAAAGGTTTTGTTACTTCTCCATTGTCAGAATCTTGCTTACATTGTTGATTAGTACCTAAAAAGAACACCTAACACGAGAAATTAGGATTGTGGAGAATAGCCAGAAATAATAAAAAATTTCAAATCCAATTGTGAATCATTAAATTCAGTTTAAAAACTTTATTCCACCACACGGTGCCAATTTTTTTTTTGGTGAAATCCCATATTGACATATAATAATATAGTGAATAATTCGAATTTATGCAATACGAAGGAGATTTAGTTTTTTATCTCTTAATTATTATATAACTTATCTAGAAGCTTTGGTTTGTATTAATTTATGTGATGAATCTCAATAATCCAATTTTGTCAAACCATCTCTTTCGAGGTAGGTTAAATATATTCTAAGCATGATCCTGTCATATCCCTATTCTAAATTCATATATAAAGTAATGCATTAATTAAGCAATTATTTACGCGATTGCATACGACATACGTGTTATTCCTAACATTTATTGTCCGTATGTTAATCTTGCAATGTTTTAAACTTCTTGTGGACCTCCAAGCACTACAACAAATAACTAATTACCTATTGGTTATTAAGCAATCATGTAATGAAATAAGAAGGAAAGAATAATAATAAAAATACCAGAATACGCTAACTACTTGGTATTTGAATTAAAAATACGTAAACAATGGTTTCATATTCATCCAATACAAGGGAGAGTTTTGAGTAGCACGTTTCTATGGAATTTATACATAGATATATGAAAATTCATCACTCCAAAAAAGAGTAAATACAAGAAGATCGATAAAGAATCAATTTCTTGATTTTGATCTTGAATATGAGCCTTAAAATATTCAAATCTTTACGTTAACTGCTTTGTATCTCGTTGCTAAATGTGTTCTCTACGTAAGGTATGTGGTCCTCTTATTTCTGCCGTAAAATTAGGTTTAATCATGGCTACTAGCTCTTTCCATCTAGAGTTCCATCAATACAAGGAAACTAGCTCGTCTACCCAGTTTATAGCTATTTGATTTTATGGCTTGGACCATTGTAATTGCATCAACCTGTCGTTGTGCTCTCGGGTTAGCCAGATTTTGGCGTTGCGTCACAAGCCTTTTTGTATGGTGCGTGTGTATGGTTTCTCAACTATGGGACCAAATTGTTGGTCCCTAGCTTTCGTCCCACGGTCTAATTTAGTCCGTTTCTTATAATCAATCCTTTGTCTTTCAATTATATTCAATTTATTTCATGTTATCTTCAATCATAAATCTTTGGTCCAAATCAACAGTTTGAATGTTTGCATTTTGATCCCCAAATTTTTAGAATCTTCTTTTTTCGCTAAAATCTCGTCCTTTTCTTTCAGTTTTACCTCCAACATCGAGTTTCACTTAACAAACGATAATTATATGAGATTAAGCTATAATCCATTAAAAGTATTCCAAGTAATTATATTTAACGGATTAAATTAGTGTATAAAATACATTTATTTGTAACTAATCAAGGGCTCAGTCTATAATATAGCGAATGTTAAATCCCTATAAGAACGCATGGAAAACATAGTTTTTGTTTATTTAACTATGAGATATGAATATGATTGGTGTCATGAGATGTATGGCATTTGCAATGCAACAGATGATGTGAATTGTGTGAACTTGATTAATTGCAGTAGTAGATATAAATGTGATTGAAAAATTGCTGCAACACTCGTTCTAGATTTAGATTAACTTCCACGAGAATGTGTTGATATACTTGCTTTTGCATTAATTCCTTTTTATCGATGCTTTCAAAATTGGATTAGACCGGCCATTCAACCGAAAATTCTGGGAACAAGGTTGAAGTCCAATTCTGTTATAGTGTGAAAATCTAATGTTAAGAAATTGGGGTAAAATTTGGGAACTTTGATTCAATTGAAAATCGATTAATTGGTGATTCAGAGTTGATATTTTGTAAAAACAAAATAAAATTAGTGTAAAATGAAGAAGAAGAAGAACAACAACAACAATGATTCATTGCCACTCCTATTGTATAATAGTCACTAGAGCTCTAGTATATTTTTGGTGAAATCTTTCTTAAACAAATACAGATACATGGTTTTATGTTCTTATATACAAATACATATATTTTGTGTGTCAGAGAGAAGATAGAGAGAAAGGACTTGGAGGGAAGTGACGAGACGGCAAAATATAAATAAATGTTGAGTTTTGCCTATATAATGCATATTCTATATTAGGGTTTGGACTTTTGGTATACGTATGTATGTCAAACGGGCCGAGCGGCTCGTCGACTCGACCGCTCGGCTCGTTAAAACTCGGTTCGTGGGCGGCTCGGACTCGTCAAATGACAAGCTCGAGCCCGAGCCGAGCGTGGGCGGCTCGGGCTCGTCAAATGAAGAGCTCGAGCCCGAGCCGAGCAGGGGGCTCGATCCCACGAGTCGAAAATTGAAATTTTTTTTTAAAAAGGTGTAAAAAATGTGCAAAAAAAAAAATGAAAAAAACATTACGAGCTCATGGGCCGAGCCGAGCTAGCCTAAGAGCAACAAGCCGAGCTCGTGGATTAAAGGGCCGAGCCGGCTCGACCCATTGCCATCCCTAGGTATACGGACTATAAAATTATTTTGGCCCATTTTGTTTCTCCATTTGATGGTAAATAATTAAATTGCTATTTTAATTAATAATATATATAAGTTTTTTATTATTTTAATTCTAGGTCAATCTTGGTTCAATAAACTAAAATCACATATTTATAAAAAAGAATTATGATTGCAAGTAATATGATAATCATAATAAATATGGTTGCAGGGGTTTAATGATTCTTTACTAATAAATATTTAATTTATAGCAGTATAAAATTAATATTATTTATTAATAATTATGTCCCGTTTGGTCCCCATTTTGTGAAAATGAAAATAGATGGAATAATATTTTTTTTGAAAAAATGAGTAATTGAAAAAGAAGATTTTTTTTCGATTTACGTGTAATATTATTTTGTGAAAGATTGTTTTGTTGAAAATAGAATAGAGAAAATGAAAATGAAATGAGTTAAACGAGGGCCATATTGTATTTAAACTATATGGTGCACGCTCAGGTCAATAGGTCCAATTTTTAACCGAGTCATCACACGGGAAGAAAAAAACTTCGGACGAATCATCCGCCGGCCAATGTCATCGCCACCAACCGCCGCTGACGCTGCCGTCACCGCCCGGCCTTGGCGGCAGTTCCTTGACCCTGCAACTCTTAGCCTCCCCATCTCCCTCTCTGAAGCCAGCTTTCGCCTCACCCAAAACCTTCGCTACTTCTATCCGAACTACGCTCTCCTTTCTCTTCTCGTATTCCTCCTCTCGCTTCTTACCCATCCCCTCTCTTTGATACTTTTTCTCTGCATTTTTTCGGCATACATATACTTATTCTTGTCGCGCAGCGAGCCCTTGACTGTCCTCGATCACACCATTGACCAGAAAATCATACTGGGTTTTCTTCTCTTACTCACTCTGGTTGCTGTTTTATGGACCAAAGTTTGGTGGAATATTTTTATTTCTTCGATTATTGGGGCGGTGATTGTGTTTCTTCACGCTGTTTTGAGGGCGCCGGAGGAGGTTGAGGAGGATTCGCCATATGGGTCTTTGCTAAATGTTGTGGATGATCCTAGGGGAGACTATGCTAGGGTTTGAAATTGGGGATTTTTTGGGTTTTTGATTTATTTGGGAAATTATGAATTGGGTAGCTCTTGATTGCTGTTTTGAATTGTATTTTATGTTCTTGGTTGCAATTTATCTAATTTCAGCGTTCGATTAATGAAAATTACGTTACTCTATGTTTATGTGGATTTATTTATCTTGACGTATAATATCCAGTTTCATTGGCATCAAGAAAATGTGGAAATTTGTGTGAGAAAAGTGATATGCTTAGGGTAATAGTGATTTACTCTATTTGGGATTAAGCAGTGAAAAGATATATCAACCAAAAAGAGAGATTGTTATGGGATTTTAGAAAGAGGTGTTTGTTAAATCTGGTATTCTGATAGCTTAGTCGGGTGGGATTCTCTATTATATAATATAAATGCTTGTGATATTTGAAGATACAGCTTAGCTCATCTTTATAATCTTTTTATGACAGATTTAATTCATGAAGAAGAAAAATTCGGTTTTGATCAGTTGAGATGAACATTACTTTAAACTATGCTCTTATTCTTAAATTTTGTTTACAAGGCCTATGGTTGTACTTTTGTGTTGTATGCTGGTTAAAATCACTGCCCCTATGGCACTAGGACTGCATTTTACGTTCTTTTGATTCTAACATTATGTAAATGCTGGCCGTGATTTACTAGTTCTAAATGGAGTAATATATTTCATAACAAGTGAGTAACATGTGAATTGGTCTTTCAATTATTCGACTGAAGAATTGTGGGTCGAAGTGCATGGAAATGTTGTCTTTCAGGCTACCGAAGTTTTATATGGTTCAGAATGCAGGAACACTTAAATTTTTTGCTTCTTCTTTGCACAAGAACGTGGTCACCACTTCTGAGCAGTGCATCACTGTGTGATTACATATATATCTCTCGTACTGTATTGTGATAATCCATTACCCTTGGATATATACGTAAATGTTCTTTGAGAAGTTCTTGGAATGTGTTTGAGTTGAAAAGCTTGTTGAGCTTCTTCTATATTTGTCTGCCAGAGTATTTCTGTAATCCATTGTGTCTATATCACTGCTAGTATTTGTTAGTTTCTGTGATCCATTATGTATTGTTGTTGGGACGGGGTCGTGCCAGTGATGTCCCCTTCGCCTTGCAGCTAATAGTGCAGCCTTGTTGGGGCAAAAAGGGCCCATAAGCTGCATACGGGGCCAGCTCGGTGGCCTCATTTAATAATTCTTAGTTATTCAACTCTCTTCACGAATTGGAACTAGAGAACTTCGGTCATTTTACAAACTCTGGTGCATTCAGTGCTTTGTTATCATAGCTCCAAGGGACGGATTACATAAAAATACTGCTGCCAATGAGGTAAAAAGAATATCGACATATGCTTTTCAATTTTATTTTTCACTTTTTTTATTTTTATTTTTTGGTTCTTCGTGACACAGACATGAATACTGTATACGCATACATGTTAGTATACATTATCACTTGTGATGCGTGTTTTTTGACATGCACAATACATTTACCTGATACCCTGGATCTTCTTAAGCTACAGAATAATTTATCTAATAAGATAACAGAAGTCTTTAATAACCCAGCTCAGTTTCAAACTATACTCTAATAGCTCTAGCTTAGCGTAGGGAAAGATGCTTAATTACTAGCGGCAGCTAGCACCCTTAATGTTTAGGCACAAAAGTGGAAGCCTGAAATAGAGATTTTTTCTTCTCTCCTTTGACGTTGACCAATTTTTTTTATTTCTACTAAGCTTCTCATAGGACTCTTTATTTACAGCTTGAGGAGGGTGTAAACGTTGAGTGATCTACCACATACATAGCCTTCTAGGATGTTCGGGTATAATGGGTAGGAAAGTGTATTTGCTTGAAGCTCAAGAAACTCCTTGAACTCTATTTAGCATGTCAGTTCTTGGTGGAATACTCGATTGAAAACGGATAGCGTTATAATGTTCATTTTTAGCATTTTATGCTATTTTATTTTCAAGTGGCTAGGGGATCCTAGAGTCGTGCTTTTGAAAGGGGAAGCCCAAATTAAATAAATGAATATCCAAGTTGGTTTGGCTTAAAAAAGATTTTTAGTAGATATTAAAATAAGTTGGTAAAATGAGTTGTTGAAAAATTGATAAAAATTGTAAATCACTTCAATGAATTTGGGAAAAAAAATGAATTTTAAGAAACGGGGGTGAAATAGGAGCATCATAATAGAATTCACTAAGTACAAACTAGCAATTAGATTTCAAAATTGATGTTCTCAAAATAACATGGTTAGATTTTTAACTATCGCGAAATGTCACACTTGGCATACACATTTAAACGGGTATAAGAATTACTTCAGTATAAGAGCGGGCCATCGAACTGAGAAATTGTGTTAGGGGAATGTCAAATGTGAAGACTGTGTCTTACATTACTTGTAAAGGAGCACTTTATAACCCAATAGACTTCCTCTTACAGTCACGTTTTGATAGTGATTTCTACCGAAGGCTCGTAAAGAAAAAGAAACAAAAACTTCTAGTACAAGGGGATTAATAGAAGTCTCCATGGTGGGGATTAATAGAAGTCTCCACGGTGGCTATTTTATCAGCCCCAATTTCGTAAGACCTTGTGTTACGTCCCTAACTAAACCACTTCGGCACAACAGTCAAAACACTCTCTAAAGTGACACGTGTACATCCGAAGTGTTTCTGAAGTGATACCAATTCCTGATGACCTCAATATGGCGCGCTGCAAGGTGAAGAGTAGATCCAATGAAGTAACCGAAGTGCCCCTAACGCAGAAGCGTTTAAGGATCCGAGGCACTCTCTTAACAGATTCCTCTGTCGCTACTTTCAGAAAGATATGTCGGATCTTGATGTGACATCTCCATGGGTCTAGTTGATATGACATATCGACTTTATGTCAACTCAACTCAGAAGAACTAATTGCTCGTCCACACTAGATGCGACTGATTGACGCTTATGAGCAGAAGCCTCATACTATCAGATGCATAACGTGTCCCGCATCCAACTATGCTCTACATCTATAAATACCTAAGGTTTAGCAAGAGACAGAGGTAATGAAACTCTTATAATTTAGCTCTCCATACTAAGTAATATATATTCTCCTCCCCACTCTCTTGCATAGCTTGAGCACTGTTTCGATCACCTAACGCTGACTTGACAGTCGGAATGTATGCGGTCGCCACCACCACAGCTGGTTCCTGTCGTTTGCTTCTGACCGTGCATTGTTGTGCGCAGGGAGGATCACGTTGAGTAGTTATCCGTTGGCCACGTGGAGGGTCCAATTCTTGAGATCAACAGATTGACGCCGTCTGTGGGAAACTTTCCGTCTAAAAGTTCTACATTGTCCACAGGAAAAGCCACCGGCAAACCATCGACTTACCCTGAAAAGGGCACGTTCTTGAAAAAGAACAAGGTTAACCTACAAGTTCTTAACACCCTTGAAAGGATAAACAAAATGAGTTATAGTAATGAAGATGCAAATTTTGAAGAGCACAGGGATGCCTCTGAAAAAGAGGTAATCAGGACCAATGTCACGCATCGGAGACCCCATCACCGGCGTCACCAAGGTAATATGACAGCAGCGCTCACTGAAGGAATGGCTCAAATAGCTGTCAGAATGAGGGACATTGTCGTTCAAAATGTGGCGATGCGAGAATTCTTTATGCAGACCTGAAGTCATTAAGGCTTCTGGGTGCCTCAAGGATCATATCTAGCTCAAGAAATTATTGTGCCTCATGGTCGAGGCCATTTGAGCCAGCACCGGGAACACCCCCTTGAAAGAGAAGTAGGTGTGGATGTGACATCCTACGCGCAAGGAAGCTAACCAGCAGAACTACCATTAGGAGAGAACTTCCCATCAGAATACGAACCCTAAAGGTCTGTCATTGTCTTCGATAGAATAGGGCAGAACCCTAGCAATAGGGTCTGCTCCGTACAATGATCAGTTCGACAAGAGTAGGAGCAAGGACCTCCTTCGCCTAGAAATAGGTGAGAGAGGAGAAACCTAGTGGATTGTGGTAGTTGAGAAGAGGCACCTTCACCTCCCAAAAACGCATCAGAGGAGGAAGGCTCTGAAGGGCCATGCCGCTTCTACGAAATCGATGATGATGACAACCTTCCCTTCTCCAGAGAAATTCGAAACTTCCCAATGCTTGCAAACTTCATGCTCATAAAATCCTAAAGTATGAAGAAAAGAGGGACCCACAGAAACACCTGACTAAGTACATGACGCAGATGAGCCTCAGAGGAGCCTCGTCGGCATTGAAATGTAAGGCCTTTCATCTAACCCTCACCGGATCTGCTGAAATGTGGTACAGCAGATTACCACCCCTAAGCATCAGAAGCTGGCCAGACTTGAAGAAGACATTTCTGAACTAATACCTTTCACGAAGGGAAGGAGATACCCCAATGCAACGCCTACAAGACTTGAGGCAAGCAAGCTCCTGGCAAGACGCTGAAAAGTTATCTCATCAGATTCACCAATGAAATCACGTACTGCAAGCAAGTCATTGACATGGAGGCCCTTTCAGCTTTGAAAGGTGGCCTCAACATAAACACTCTGTTCTGGAGGGATATACGCAGCAAGAATTCCACCACCTATGACGAGCTGGTTGAAATGACGAGGGTGGAAATCGTTAATGATGAGATGATTGACCATCGAAATCGCATGGCTTAGGGACTTCCCCTGCCGCAGAGGCAGATGGGTCAAGGATCAGCCGCACACCTCGTCACCTAGCAATGGACCCAGACTGCTCACACAATAGCCCCCACATCTGCATAGGCATTGGCTTCAGCCACTCTAAATGCAGTGCTAGTGCTAGCATATGAAAATGCTCCTACCAAAGCAGAGCCATCCAGGGGAACAAACAATCAGAAGAAGAAGAAGAAGCGATTAAACAGGCCCTGTTTCACGGGGTGCCTTTCTTCTTGGCACATAAAGGGACACCGTGCGACAGTAGTCTGCTCCGCTAGACTATCTTCCGCCTTTTTTCAGTCGCGCTGGACGAAAAAAAATTTGATTACAATTTTGTAGAAAACTTACAATAGAGAATTTGAATACATTGAAAGTAAATTGAACATTGATTGATGAAAATTGAACATTACAATTGACAAAAGCAGAAAATTACAATTGCTGGTGCAGGGGGCGGACACCAGTGAGCTTGAAAGATTTTTGAATGACTAATACACCCTATAATAGCATTCTGAACAAAAACCTAAGTAACGGGAGTAGACGTTTAAAAGACGAGAAATCATACTAAACGTTTACTAATATCAGAGTTATTTTACAACTGAAATAACTATTACAATGAAAAGAAAATTATAACTCAAACTTGAAGTAATATTTACAATGTGTGGCCGAAGTTGGACAAACTGAGGCTGCGATAGTGTCAAGGGGCTAAGTAAAGTTGCAGTCCTTGATATTGTCCCCCATTTGTTTTGGCGACGTCCTCGGTGCCATCAATGCATGATATGCTTCAATTAATGCTTTGAAGGCTCCGAGATCTTTTTCTCTT